CGTCCTGACGTATCCGACTTCCTAGATACCTTAAATCAGCCACTTCTAATTTTTCGTCTGCTGTATTTATATTCGCTCTTTTCCTACTGTTTCTTCCCTTGTGAACCAGTATTTTTGTTTTACTTTTATTTGTTTTCATATAATACTGTTTTGTCACTACCACTTCCATTTTATTTAAAGCTATCTCTAACTCCTTCTTACTAAATGTTAATACTGCTATATAATATGCAAATCTAAGCATACTAATATTTTGCCTCTCGATATCTATCCCTGCAGTTATACTGTCTTTAATGATGTTGATCGCGTCTTCGATGTATAAATTAATAAGTAGCGGTGACAGTGTGCATCCTTGTCTGACTCCCTTCCTAATATTTACTTCTCTCTAAATCAAGTAACGGAAAAAATAAGAAGTTTTGAAAAAAGGTGGCGTCCTACCAACCTATATTGTCTATTGCTTATTTTTCTCTTACTGTTTCTAGTATCTGTTATATTTTAGATTATATTTTGCATTCTATCTACAGGCAATTCTTAAAGAAAGTATCATTAATTTTATTTAACGATAAGTATTTTTAGTTGTGACGCTAAAATGTTTCATCCATTTATAATAATTATGCGTTCTAATTAGATTTAATTCAGTTAAAATTGCTTGAAATAGCATAACTTAATTTGTCAGACCGCATCCGGAATTAACAAAACGATCAAAGATACAAAGGGGCCTTAAATTCAGACAACTGCGGGTAAATGGTGAGTTTTTAAAATGCTTAATGAAACCCTTCTGCGCGGCTCGAATAAATTCAACCCTGGTGAAAGGTAGTCTACGGGCGGCGGATAAATTAAAAGGAAATAAATGAGTTGGCCAACAAATAGGTCTTAGTGGTGGAGGTGCACTTACCAGCGAACAGCGCATTTAAATCAAACGAATAGTCTTTCGAGTACCGTGCAGCATGCTTCAGACAAATAATAAATAGCAAGACTGGAGTTGTAGTAGCAGCACCCTGCACCGTGCACCCTTCACCGACACAACCGTATATATGATAAAATAGTGAACACTGCTGCTGACAATCGGTCCATTACGATTTTTAAGGGAGGAAAAGGCGGACGATTTATTAATTTTTTCCTATTAGGGGCTCTTCAATTTTGAATTTAATTAACAGTTACAAATTAACAGAAAGTAAATTACACAAGGCATAACAGAAAATTAATGAGAATAATTGGGTTGGGAGAAAATCACCCAGACATGAAGCTAATAGTGTACGTACAAATTGATCGTCATCAAGAATAAGAACAAATTTTAGGGTATTTGGTTGATAGGGTAAGCCACTTTCTAGACAAGCGAAGCTTTTTAAATTACGATATCGATGTAGTGATTAAAAATTTACGTTTTTAATTAAATTCTAGAGCGAACATGTGAGTTGACTGGAATTCAATTAAATATTCATTTTTGTGGATTAATTTTTCAATGAATTTTGAAGTAGGTGCTTCTCTATTTCTTCTAAAACACTAAATACAAAGGAGGTGAAATGAGAATAAAATTTCCTTGGAAAATCAACCCAATTCAAAAAGTTGAAAGTAACTAACTTTTACAATCATTATTATAGGTCAGTTCTAAGGCTGACAAGACAGGAACTTTCACTTTTTCCCATAGCGAGCTTATCTTCGCATTTCCCTAAAACTAGGACATCTCACATCCTTAACTGTTTGTGAAGAGTAATCTAATCTAGTACTACTTCTACTCTTGTTTCTGCCTCTAATATGTCCCTAACTCGACCTTCACACCTGAAAAGGTGTCCTACCAACCTATCTCGCTTATTCCTTATCGACCATGGAGTCCTCTGTTTCCAATTCTTTCTTATACAGGGGGGGTTTTATTTTCCTACACGTTCTACTAATGCTTTTGTTTCCTTTAATGTTTTGCCAAAATATTTTGTTAAAAATTTCAGAAGAGGCAATGCACCATTTAAATTTATACAGTCGTTTCAAAAATAAATAACAGACAGATTTGTTTTAAGTGTAAGGTAAGCCAGGCAAGTAAACAAAACGGTATTGTTTTCAAATTAAGATGATTTACGCTCGCTAACTCTCTTAAACTTTGATTCTGCTTCTAATATGTTTCTGACTGGCACGTCATGCCTGAAAAGACGCCTTACCAACCTATCGCGCCTATATCTTATTGACTTCCATAGAGTCCTCTGTTCTCCTATTCTTTCTCATACCTCTCCATTTCTAACCTTCTCTATTCTCGCCTTACAGCGCCACGCATCAGACATACACCTTTAACAATTTAATTTCTTATTTTTTGTCTCCTAAAGTTATATTCCAGACCTAGATTAGATTACTGTTCGCAAATAGTTAAGGATGTGGGCTGTTCTAGTTTTAGGGAAATGCGAAGTTTAACTCAGGATAGGAAAGAGTGGAGGTACGTGTCCAACCAGTCTTAAGACTGATGACCTTATGATGATGATGAAAGTTATATTCGCCTTTTCCTTACGTTTTCTTTCAGTGCATACCAGTATTTATATTTTGTATGTTTATTTATTTAACTTCTACAATAAAGAAGATATATTCAGAATAATAAGAAATCGTATATTTTTATGCTTCTAAAAGCCCTAAATCACAATTAATTATATTATGACAACGACGGAGACATGTTTTCCTGAAATTCATTTTTTCTTTCCTTTATCATGCCGCCCATTTGGTATTGTAATTAACGTGTTCTGTTTCGCCAAGTCTCTACCCTAACAACGTACTTGTACTCCATTGTGTTGACTAAATCAATACTTATTTTTGTCCGTTACTAAATAAAGCTACCAAGAAAAATAACGTGCTCCTAAAAATTTTGGAACCTATACAAAAGACTTGCTCTCTTGTTATCTAACATGAAAATAGTTAATCAATAAAAACCACACAAAAACTGGTTATTTTTCTGTAAAAGTACAAGTCGTCCCCTCATATAATTACTATTAAATTATTCACAGATTGCGTCTACGTCATCGCCATCATCCTGATGAAGGATCTATCGTATAAAGGATTGTCTGAAATAACCACGCTCACCACATAAAAAACATGTATCGTATCGTTTTAAATTAAGTCAGGCTTAATAAACGTAAGTCATAACTAAATTTGCATGCTGCATAACACAAGTTCCTCCCCATTTACCCCTTGTGATGTAAGATAGTACGTTCCATACGCCGATGAATAGAATCAGTCGATTTATATCCTTCCTGATAATGTTTAATTAATTTTATAATACCTTTGAAACGTCACACTTTATATTTTCAAAACAATTTTGTATCTTTTGAATCAGTTTCAGCTTGAGTAACAATATGGTGCATGGTTAAAAATTCTGGAAAGCTTTAAAGCTTTTGAGTTCCATACTTGATTGTCTGTTCATTATTACGTGTTACAGGTTGGATCAAAAAAACAGGAAAATTACCTGTATATGGGGGTGTGTTCATCTTTGTACCAAACAACAAGCAGGACTGAACCGTTGGTCGTTGAAGGGGTTAGATCACACGGTATTTCTGCCGCACCTCCTACAACAGCTTGGATTTCAACCGTTGCCAAACCTAAAATAGAAGATATTTAAATCAGTGAGTGAAATTAAATTTTATTATAGACGCTAAGTAAATGTTTCATCATACAGTGGTTATAAATACTGAACGAAATGGAGGGCTATATTTTGGATTATAGTGTTTTATTCGGTCCATTTCTACAGAACCCCATTTGATTTCCCTAAAAATAGAGTAAAATCCGACAACGATATATAATTTCCTTTTGAGAAAATGTTCAGAAAAGATAAATATGTACAATTAATTAAACCGTTTAGGGCAAAATCTTCCTTTTTTTATTCATTTCAGTGTTGTATATGTATTGTATATATTTTAAACTATTATTTTGAATGTATTAGAGTTGTCTATAATGTAAGGGTAAAAGTGAAGGAAGAGTGATCCAGATAAGTAATAGAAACAACAGTATATGCTTTCTAAAATTTGTTAGGCACTTGCTAGTATTATAATAAATTTCAATTTTCTACTTTCTGCTTGGATAGATGTGCAAGGGCAAGATTAGTATGGTTAGATTGATATAGCAGTATTAGCATCTAGCAAGGAGGACTTAGAGATAGCCTTAAATAAAATGGAAGCGATACTGACAGATCAGTACTGTATGAAAATAAATAGAGGTAAAACTAAAATACTGGTATGCAAGGGAAGAAAAAGTAGGGAAAGAGCGAATATAAAGATANTTATCATGCCGCCCATTTGGTATTGTAATTAACGTGTTCTGTTTCGCCAAGTCTCTACCCTAACAACGTACTTGTACTCCATTGTGTTGACTAAATCAATACTTATTTTTGTCCGTTACTAAATAAAGCTACCAAGAAAAATAACGTGCTCCTAAAAATTTTGGAACCTATACAAAAGACTTGCTCTCTTGTTATCTAACATGAAAATAGTTAATCAATAAAAACCACACAAAAACTGGTTATTTTTCTGTAAAAGTACAAGTCGTCCCCTCATATAATTACTATTAAATTATTCACAGATTGCGTCTACGTCATCGCCATCATCCTGATGAAGGATCTATCGTATAAAGGATTGTCTGAAATAACCACGCTCACCACATAAAAAACATGTATCGTATCGTTTTAAATTAAGTCAGGCTTAATAAACGTAAGTCATAACTAAATTTGCATGCTGCATAACACAAGTTCCTCCCCATTTACCCCTTGTGATGTAAGATAGTACGTTCCATACGCCGATGAATAGAATCAGTCGATTTATATCCTTCCTGATAATGTTTAATTAATTTTATAATACCTTTGAAACGTCACACTTTATATTTTCAAAACAATTTTGTATCTTTTGAATCAGTTTCAGCTTGAGTAACAATATGGTGCATGGTTAAAAATTCTGGAAAGCTTTAAAGCTTTTGAGTTCCATACTTGATTGTCTGTTCATTATTACGTGTTACAGGTTGGATCAAAAAAACAGGAAAATTACCTGTATATGGGGGTGTGTTCATCTTTGTACCAAACAACAAGCAGGACTGAACCGTTGGTCGTTGAAGGGGTTAGATCACACGGTATTTCTGCCGCACCTCCTACAACAGCTTGGATTTCAACCGTTGCCAAACCTAAAATAGAAGATATTTAAATCAGTGAGTGAAATTAAATTTTATTATAGACGCTAAGTAAATGTTTCATCATACAGTGGTTATAAATACTGAACGAAATGGAGGGCTATATTTTGGATTATAGTGTTTTATTCGGTCCATTTCTACAGAACCCCATTTGATTTCCCTAAAAATAGAGTAAAATCCGACAACGATATATAATTTCCTTTTGAGAAAATGTTCAGAAAAGATAAATATGTACAAATAATTAAACCGTTTAGGGCAAAATCTTCCTTTTTTTATTCATTTCAGTGTTGTATATGTATTGTATATATTTTAAACTATTATTTTGAATGTATTAGAGTTGTCTATACTGTAAGGGTAAAAGTGAAGGAAGAGTGATCCAGATAAGTAATAGAAACAACAGTATATGCTTTCTAAAATTTGTTAGGCACTTGCTAGTATTATAATAAATTTCAATTTTCTGCTTTCTGCTTGGATAGATGTGCAAGGGCAAGATTAGTATGGTTAGATTGATATAGCAGTATTAGCATCTAGCAAGGAGGACTTAGAGATAGCCTTAAATAAAATGGAAGCGATACTGACAGATCAGTACTGTATGAAAATAAATAGAGGTAAAACTAAAATACTGGTATGCAAGGGAAGAAAAAGTAGGGAAAGAGCGAATATAAAGAAAGGAGACGAAACATTAGAACAAGTGGCAGATTTTAGATACCTAGTAAGTCAGATAAGTCAGGATGGAAGGGGTAGTAGGGATATAAAGCAGAGGATGGCGCAGGGTCGTGTCGCCTTTAATAAAAGAAAAGTCACTTCTATGCTCGCGAACGGTTAATTTAGAAATTCGAAAAAGGTTGTTAAAGGTGTATGTTTGGAGCACGGCGTTGTACGGGTGCGAAACATGGACAGTGGGAGCGGCGGAAAAGAAAAGGTTAGAAGCGTTCGAAATGTGGTGTTATAGGCGGATGATGAGGATATCGTGGGTAGAAAAGGTTAGAAATGAAGAGGTATTGGAAAGAATAGGAGAACAGAGGATTCTATGGAAGTCAATAAAAAATTGGCGAGATAGGTTAGTAGGACACCTTCTCAGACATGGAGGTCTAGTCAGAGACATATTAGAGGCAGAAACAGGAGTTAGGAGGGGTAGAAGTAGACCTAGATTAGATTTCTGTTCGCAAATAGTTAAGGATGTGGGATGTTCTAGTTTTAGGGAAATGCGAAGTTTAGCACAGGATAGGAAGAAGTGGAAGTATGTGTCCAACCAGTTTTAGGACTGACGACCTTATGATGATGATGATGATGCTTTAAATGGTTAACATAAAGAGTTTACATAGTTTTTCGAAGCATGGAATCTCAGTGGTGGTTAGCACGAGTTATCTGCGGAAAATCTCAGTTAATAAAATAAAGACGGCGAATATTAATGAAAGGTAGCAAACTGGTGCTACCAAAAGTGAATTTTCTTTATTAGAAAAGTTTACACTGTAATATTAATTAATAGGTGGACTGATCTTACATTTCCGCCGTTCATTTCAAGTAACAAATGTAAGTTAAACTCTTCTTCCTTTACACGGATTCGCACACCCCGGCGCAATTTCCAAATTCTCTTCCGCAACTTTCTTTGTTGCGTTTCCATTAGTTGTAAGCGCGATGTAAATTCCTTCAGGAAGAGTGCTTTTAATTACCTCCTTCTCTTGCACATAAATCTTCGGAACATCTGTTGTTCTACTACATACATTCATACGCTTCACGTTGAGTCGTGACTAATTAAGAAAATTACTATTAACGATTGCAATTGGTTATAAATTTTTACAAAGTTGAGAACACCCATTAAGAATACTGCACAGTATTTTTGTGGGCCAATTTATTGTTTTATGAGAAAATGGCTCATCTAATATTATGTGTTAATATTTGTGCTTTTAGGAACATAGTGTGGAAATGGATGGAATAGATTATCCCATAATGAGAGAAGATTTCGATTTAGCATTAAAATACTTAAAGAATAATAAGGCGCCAAGTGTAGATGGGATACAGGCGAAAATTTTGAAACATGCAGGACAAAAGAGGTTAGAGATCGTATGTTTAAGTTAGTTTGTCTCATTTACGAGACGGGGAAAGTCCCGGAGGATTATAAATGGAAGGTGGTAGGAACCATACCCAAAAAGAGAGGCGCGGATAGGTGCAAGACATTTAGAACAATTAGTTTAATTTCCCATGCGTCAAAAATCTTAACTAGAAGAAGAAGACAAGGATGGAAAAAAGGGCGGAAAAACTATTAGGAGAAGATCAATTTGGGTTTAGAAAAAATAGAGGAACGCGGGAAGCCATTCTAGCTTTAGGGGTAACAATAGAGAAAACGATGGAAAAAGGAAATAGTGCGTACACATTAGGATTTGTAGATGTAGAAAAATCTTTTGACAATGTTAAATGGGACAAGATGTTAAAGAAAAAAATTAAAATATGTAGGGATGAGTTACGGAGATAGAAGAGTGATACTTAGTTGGTATAAAAAATCGGTTGTCTGTAAAGTCGGTTTACTGACGATAGTTTAACGTGACAACGAAAATACTGACGGAATAGTTTCATTTTTCAATGGAAAATTTTAATTTTATTTGTTTGATAGATATTTTGTATGGATATAGAGAAGGAGGTAAATGGAAATGTATTAATGTATAGCAGCAGTCCACGCAGACGCATCGCTCACTCAAGTAGGAGAGAGACATGTCGAACGCTGCCGAACGCGGAGGCCGATTGTGCCTCTTTGTCGCTCGTTCCGCGCTCTCGCTTGCACTTCAAGCCGTAAATGGAACGCCTCAGAGCGAGGTAACGCCGCATGAGTCATGTTTTTTCGTGCATGCAGCCGGCTCCATCGAATTATAAGACGTTGTCACGTCAAAAAGCAATAGGCAGTTATAGAGCTAGCAACGTAGAGAAGTAAATATTAGGAAGGGAGTCAGATAAGGATGCACACTGTCACCGCTACTTTTTAATCTATACATGGAAGACGCGATCAACATCATTACAGACAGTACAACTGTAGGAATAGATATACGGGGAAAAAAGATTAGTATGCTTAGATTTGCAGAAAAAGTAGGGAAAGAGCGAATATAAAGATGGGAAGTCAGATAAGTCAAGACGGAAGGAGTAGTAGGGATATAAAGCAGACGATACCGCAGGATTGAGTCGCCTTCAATAAAAAGAAGTCACTTATATGCTTCCGAACAATTAATTTAGAAATTTGAAAAAGATTGTTAAAGATGTATGTTTGAACTTTGAACTTTTACGTGCTACGGAGATATTGATGACTTAATGATGATGAAGGAGATCGCTTACTTAGAAAAACATTTTCCTTCATTAGCTAACATTTCATTTGAAGATACTGTACCACTGTACCTGTCTGAAATAAGGCAACCCTTATTCTAGACAAATTCTTAATGTCATTGTAATTTCGTTACATGGATACATCAGAATAGAAAAAACATACCCTTTTTTGTCACAAGAGCTTTGCTTCCTTTGTAATTAATTAATCCGATTGGATACATAATATGGCTGCCCGGCAAATTCGAAGTAATTTTTCTTGCAAGAAAAGGAACCAAATTACGTCGAAAGCTGAGATTTAGTAGTACCCGACAGCTTTCTCAAAACTAACGAGCCATCATGACAGCGAGTTAATTTACTTTTCGTTCGATGCCATTCTGTGGTTTCACGTACAGTATCAACGGTCCATTGAAATGGATTCCCTATTCCAATGTAAATCCTCTCGGAACCTGCTCATAATCTGCGGAGCTAGCAGTCGCCGTATCGTCACTACCGCTACCACCACCGACCACTACTATATGGGTAGTATATTGCTTTAAAATTCTCAGTAATCTAGATTACATGGAATCTTACCGCCATCTATGAGTTCTTTCCCCATTATGTGTACGCTTTATAAATTGAGCCCGTTTCCGTAACTGGACTTCTCTCCGAGCTACTTTAAAGCCGCACGATGACCCAGTTGCGAGGTTTCTGTATGTGTCCTTTCAAACGCGAACGTAGACCAAGATCTGAAAAAATTACTCCCCGAACGGCACTAGAGAGCCACCCCCGCCAACTTGGCACACGTGCTGAATAACAAACTAACTAAAACGTGAACTACTTATTCAGGATGGGGCACGGGAGAAACTCGATAGGACGTTGTACTTGCTTTATGTGCAGGGCAGCACTGTTTGATGCGGGGACTAGTTTCAAAATGGATTTTAAACAACTACGTATATAACATTGCAATTTCGAAATGGTTCTTAAAAGCAGGTTTCTCTTAAATCATGATTTATTAAACTAATTAAGTCATTTGTCGCGCTTCCTTTTCAGTATTCCTTTTGTAACTGCTATTCAATTCACAGCCATATTCTATGATTTAGTGTGTTACAGTGTAATTTCAGTTGTAGTTACTAGGATTAGGGATAAGTATACAATATTAAGCATGGTGTAATTTTTAATATTTATATAAGTTACTGCATTGGCTGCTATAGTGTATAAATGTACATTATTACAAATATCACCCTGTTGGGGCCTCTCAAAACATTTGGTCCCAATAGATAAATTCTACGAAGGCTTCGTCGGTCAGCTACCCTTATTTAATTGCACTACGCTGTAATGTTGTCTATGTATTTTTGGGTCTTTTCCTATACTTTTCTATAGCTTTGTTATCGCAGGTACTGGTGGTGGTAATATTATAGTTTGATTTTATTCCATTTTGGTAGTAGCTTAGTTCAGTTCAAAAAGTTAAGTTTTGTCGTTCAGCTTAACCAGATCTATTTTTTGTCCCTAATTTTGTCTTCCGTTTTTATATTGTTTTCATGTTCTGAATATGTTTAAGTGTTGTAAATAAAGTGTGTACATAGTTTTGTTTTACACTGGAATTTTATTCACTTTGGTCATTTATCCAAAAACATTCTGAGAAAATACTGCTCGTGGAAACACGGCAAACATAGTGTATTTTCATTATTTTAGACTAATAGATTAAT